TTTTAATTGGCAGAAAATATTTTCATAACATTGAGAATAACGCTTGAGAAAAGTTCAATTACATCATAATTTGCACATTGACCAAACACTATTTAACATATTTGCTTCTTTTTTTTGATTTCTTTTTTGTACCAGATTCATTAGTTTTTATGGGAAAATAATAATTTATCATAAATATAGCATTATGTTTATATGAATTCGGTTGTATTTTTCTTGGGGACAGATTTTTTTTTTGGAGAGGAATGAGAATCGAATGCTTTTCAATTGGCATTGGATATACGAGTGCATCTAGGTGGCATTTTGACAAGATAAATGAATACAGTTATTTACTCAAGAAGAAATCCATTTTAGTACTATATATAGAAATACTGTTTTAATACATTAAAAAATTTTATATTATTTTATTGTCAATTTTATGATTTGTTAATACACTTTTTCTTATAATTGCATAATCGAATACAAGGATAACAATTAAAGCTCGAACAAACTTATTTAAACTGTATAATCTAATTTATTTGATGTCTAAAAGCTCGAACAAACAACTAATACCTAAAATGTAATAATGTTAATTGATGCTTAAAAACTTGAACAAACAACTAATTACCTCAAACAGTAATAGCAACAATTAAAAACTCGAACAAACAACTAATAACCTAAAACAGTAATAGCAACAATTGATGCTTAAAAACTCGAGCACAAACAACTAATTACCAGAACAGTAATAGTGACAATTGATGCTTAAAAACTTGAACAAAACTAATTACCAAAACCGTAATAGCAAGCTTCCATTTAGACACTAGAATCTATTTATGCATAAAATTGCATATACAATTGTGTATTAATCGTAAACGATAAACAAAAGCAATAAACTGAGGGGTTTGTCAAATTTACCGACCTGATCATCCGAACTAAAATTATTGGCTAAATTCGGTTATTGTTTCTAATCTTTATTGGGTAATTCGTCTATTGTCCCGTATCAGTTTTTGTTTCAATTGTAGTTTCTCGTGATTCTCTAATTAAAAAATTATAATATCGAGTTTAGTTTTGTTTCGATAAATTAATTACTTATAGTTGGTGATTATATAATTTTTAAATATATAAAGCAACAAATTTTTTTCAAAAAATCGTTTGTTTTGATCGTCTCAATCGTTTCAATCGTCTTTTCTTTATCCAATTGCTTTTCTTTATCCAATTGCTTTTCTTTATCCAATTGCTTTTCTTTATCCAACCGCTTTTCTTTATCCAACCGCTTTTCTTTATCTAATCGCTTTTCTTTATCCAACCGCTTTTCTTCATCCAATCGCTTTTCTTTATCCAATCGCTTTTCTTTATACAACCGCTTTTCTTTATCCAATTGCTTTTCTTTATCCAATTGCTTTTCTTTATCCAATTGCTTTTCTTTATTCAATTGCTTTTCTTTATCTAAATATGCCAAAATTATCAAAACAAAAACTTCATATGAAGTACATGACATCTCAAAGTAATGAAATCTGACAAATTCATAAAATGATACCTCAAATTGATCCTAAATCTAATCCAAATATCCGCAAAATCATTACTAATACACTTAATCATTCACACGAAGAGGAAATCTTTAATAATATTCGTGAAATGCCAGAACTACAAAAGAAAAATATGTTAAATCTAATTGAAACAATGCAAAATCCAAAAGGAAAGCATAAAAATGAAATTATTTCGGTTTATCTTCAAAATAAAGCCCTTGAATGTATTACGGATAGTCGTAAAAATCTAGTTGTTTTAAAAGCTGAGAATACGAACCTAAAATCAGTAAACCGAAAACTATTAAGGAATAATCAAAATCTATTACATAAAATTCAGTCTGTAAGTAGTTCAAATCAGCATCTTAGAAATAAAGTAGAAAAGCGAATTTCAACTATTAGGTCATTAATACACAAATGAAAGCAGATATCTAATGAAGAATTCAAACGCCAAATTAGCATATTATTTAAAACAAATAATCGAGAATATTCGCCCAAAATGGTTTGGCTTTTAACCAAGATATCGCAAATTGGCCAAACTTCTTTAACTGCGACTGTTGAATCATTGTGACTAGTCTATGAATTCTTAACCGGAGAACCTCCACAAAGATGGTTATCTACAATGACCCTAAGTATCTGGCATAAAGAAGTCTCACAAATTGAAACTGAAGCCAGAATATATAAGGCCTCACAATATTCACGATATGGAATCCTTGTGATGAATCAACTCGCAGAGAAAGTAAATATTTCATTATATGTATAATGTTCTGGGATCATAAAAAAAATATTCCATCAGTAATTGTGCAAATTATGATGTAATTGAACTTTTCTCAAGCGTTATTCTCAATGTTATGAAAATATTTTCTGCCAATTAAAA